TGAAAATAGTTAATATGGAAAATATATAGTTATGCTTTAGCTATCCATGCACAATGCAATCAATCAAGTGAGACTATATACCGCTAAAAGATTGTGTTCTAAACTGGCCCGTTTTACAGCGGATAAACTTTTTACAGAGACTGTCGCGCGACAACAACCTTAATTAACTAATTCTAACATTTACAGCCCATGAATAAAAATCTTTCCAATCGCAAAATGTTCTTCAACTTCTCTACATATGTCCCAAAAAATTCCATGAAAAACTCATAATCTCAACTCGTTGGGGTTTTCAAAACTAAAAAAAAAGTCAATCATCGAAAAATAAGAAAATTAATAACTATTGCCCTGACCCATTAAGGCTCCCAAAAATTTAACCGAGTCATTTCTGCATTAAAATCCATCTATCTATCAATTATCACAAAAATGTCGCCGTTACTTCGCTTATACGGAAGCAGTACCTTAATCTCCAAGCGCTGCGGTGTGAAAAAAAATTCCCGCACACGTGCTGTAAAGAATCGGATGGATTTTTCAGAGTGCAGAGTTATAGGATAGCTCGCCATATACACTAGTTCAACTAAAAAATATATTGAACAAGTGATGAGGTATGCAGATACACACCATTGAAACTCCAACTGCACTGAACCGAAACAGCTTCCCACCCTCTTCCTCTGGACAGAGAGAAAAAATCTCTTATTATTACCCTGATTGAACTGCCTATATATACACACGAAGGCTTTTTCAATGTTTTTTATTGTGGTTGTTCAATGTAGGTGAAGAGGTAAACCACTCTATTTATAAACGTATGAACAAGGAGGGGAAATTGATGTACCCTTTAACCACCCCTTCAATAGCCGATGATCACAGTCAACCACCCTCGTGTCACTTTTATTCGAGTTAAAACCTTCGTACACTAAAGATCTACTCAACACTATATCATTTATTATTACCATCGTTATAAATTGTCAGAGGTAAATTTTTGCCTGTATTTTTTTCTTCCTCCCGCTAAGAGAATATAATCATTTACCCGAGCGATAAATAAATAAATTGAGCCAGTAGGTATTTTTTTTAAGTGGGGGATGCTGTTGCTTATAAAAGTCTGGACGCGGCTCAGTTGAGAACAGTCGACAGAGTGTCAATGAGTGGAACAAATCACCGTGCTCACCGATATTAAGATAGAAAAAATTAATTAACCGATTGAATCGGCTAAAAGGGAATAAGAAAAGTGAATTAGCATGAATATCGAGGAATTTCGTGTGAGGGGAAAAGAGATGGTGGATTATATTTGTGATTATTTGAAAACATTGGAAGGAAAGAGAGTGACTGCCAATGTGGATCCGGGGTATTTGAGGCCCCTTCTTCCTAAGGAAGCCCCGAGCAAGCCTGAATCTTGGGATGATATTATGAGGGACGTAGAGAACAAGATAATGCCTGGGGTAAGGCATAAATTATTCTTCTGATAATATAATGAAATATAGACGAAGGCGGAAGGTATAGCGGTAGTAGGATAAGCATGAGGGGGATGATACTCTTTTATAAGTGAAGAAAAGTTGATAATTGTCTGGGTGGAGGTGAATTGATTTTTTTTTCACCCCATGCCGACATCCATCATTAACCGAGGAACGCTCCAAATAACCCCATCTCTATTTTCAGATAACCCACTGGCAGCACCCGCGCTTCCACGCATATTTCCCATCCGGGAATTCATTCCCTTCAATTCTGGGTGACATGCTATCAGACGCGATTGGGTGCATAGGTTTTTCATGGGCAGCGAGTCCAGCTTGTACGGAATTGGAGACAATTGTTCTCGATTGGTATGCTAAAGCTTTGAATTTGCCATCAATATTTTTATCAGAGGCTCAAAATTCAAAAGGTGGAGGAGTAATTCAGGGATCGGCGTCAGAGTGTATTCTAGTAACAATGTTAGCAGCTAGAAGTCACATTATAAAATTGCTCAGGTCTAAAGAACCGTTGACCGAAGATTCAGCATTTTTGCCGAGATTGGTGGCTTATTGTTCGACAGAGGCGCATTCTTGTGTGGAAAAAGCAGCGATGATATGCTTGGTGAAGCTAAGGGTGTTGGTGCCAGATGAGCAATGCTCACTGAGAGGTGGAGCTGTTGAATCGGCGATTGATGATGATATCAAGCACGGGCTCGTACCGTTCTTTCTCTCTACCACACTCGGCTCCACTGGTTGCTGCTCTTTTGATAATCTTGAGGAGATCGGTCCTATTGCAAGACGTAAACGCATCTGGCTTCACGTTGACGGTGCCTACGCCGGCAATTCCTTCATCTGCCCTGAGCTTCGCTATCTGATGAATGGAATAGAATATGCCGATTCCTTCAATACTAATCCAAACAAATGGCTCCTCGTTAATTTCGATTGCTCTTGTCTGTGGGTACGTGATCGAGTCAAGTTAACATCAGCGCTTGTTGTCGATCCCCTCTATCTACAACACGCCAATGCATCCGAATCCATCGACTATCGCCACTGGGGTATTCCACTCAGTCGCAGATTTCGAGCGCTCAAGCTGTGGTTTGTTATGCGCACTTATGGAATCACTGGTCTACAAAAATACATCAGAAATCACATAAGATTGGCCTGTAGATTCGAGAGAATGATGAGAAAGAAAAAAAAATTTGAAGTTATGAATCAAGTTAAAGTCGGACTCGTCTGCTTCAGGTTGAGAGATAGTGATGAACTCAATCAAGAGCTTCTGGCAAACATCAATGCCTCTGGTAAACTCCATATGATACCTTCTAGAATGAGGGGCAAGTACATCATCAGATTTTGTGTTACCAAGGAACATGCCAATGAAGACGACATAGACTTTGCTCTGGAGATAATTGAGGAGCACGCTGTTGAGGTCCTTCTTGCTCATAATGACACTGGTGATGCTGAACTTATGGCAAAGAGCCCCAAGAGTCCTGCACCCCTCGATAAAAAACTCGTACGAAAATTCAGCTTCACCAGAAGTGTCACAAGAGATGTTTACAAAAGAACAAAGTCCAAATCTGCCCTTCACGATGGTGCTACACCCATCATGGTTGTTGAAGATGGCAACTCCCAGACTGATAATATTGAAGATATTGACGTGCGTTGTAGTAGCCGGTAGAACGCAATAAGGCTTACGGTACCAAATAGTGATCAGTATTTAGAGGTAACGTGAGCCAGGGCTGTAGATAGGTTATCTAATTATCCACCAGATTTTATAGAATTTACACCGACCAAGGAGGTACTCATTTGACATTTTACACTCAATATCCTATATCCTCAATTCAATATCAACATTCATATCTAAATATTGCGATTATAAACAGGCTTGTTGCTTTCCAGTAATCACGTCAACATTTCTAATTAATTAATTAAGTCTTAAGGGTGTTCTACACCCATATTTAAACAAAATTGAAGTTTTTTTGTTTTTGTGATAAATTTAGTTTTAAAGGGGAATCCCAAAATCGCGGAGAAAATGCAAATGATTCTCTCCTTTTTTTATACTTTCGAAGTTTTTTCATAATTTTCTATAAGAATGTAGCGGCGGAGTAATTGAGCCTTGATTAGTGTTTCAATTGAATTTATACTAAATTCAATTGGTAAACACTTAAACAATGATGAAGATCTGATTACTGATACCTTAAACACTATTTACGCGAAGTAGAAATAAATTCAATTTGATGAATTAAAATTTTCGTTTTGTCGCGTTCCAAAATTTCGGTGGATTTTAGGGTAAGGACTAGTTATTTAAGTAGTAAAAATAGTTGAGGAATGAGCTTCGGGTGTCCACTTTCCCTCCACCCCTAAAAATATCCATTAGATAAGCAATTTGAATTATCTATCCTAGCGATAATGAACCATTAAAGAATTGCCTTCGGGCGGACGGTATATCGATAAATAATCGATTTATCCAATTTTCGAGAACATATAATCGAACATTCTAGCGCAATATGCATTCAGTGTAGATAGCATTATTATTGTTATAATAAAATAATTGTTATAATAAATAGTAATAATATAGCAACAATAGAACAATTTCTTCTCACGAGACAGCGCTACGATCGACTGGTCTTCCCGCCATTGGAGTAATTAGGTTATGTTTACATGTAATGCATGTTTAATTGTCTGTTAGATAATAGAATAGAACAGAAAAAAGATGCCGACGTGGAATCAAATTCAAACACAACTCCGAAATCCAAATAATCCGGTGGTATTCTTCGATGTTTCGGTGGGAAACACAGAAATTGGTCGAATGATATTCGAGCTGTTCGAGGACGTCTGCCCAAAGACATCAGAAAACTTCCGACAATTCTGCACTGGTGAATACAGAAAGGATGGAGTTCCATTGGGATTCAAAGGTGCTATTTTCCATCGAGTTATCAAAGATTTTATGATACAAGGCGGTGATTTTGTCAATGGAGATGGCACTGGGGTCCTCAGCATATACGGTGGGAGCACATTTCCTGATGAAAATTTCACCCTCAAACACGATTCACCGGGATTATTGTCCATGGCCAACAGTGGAAAAGACACTAATGGATGTCAGTTCTTCATAACTTGTGCAAAATGCAATTTTTTAGACGGTAAACATGTTGTATTTGGACGTGTTATTGATGGCCTCTTGGTTATGAGAAAAGTTGAAAATGTACCCACTGGGCCCAATAATAAACCTAAAATACCAGTCACTATATCTCAATGTGGTCAAATGTAAAAAGACCATTGATTTTTTACTTTTATCGATTGGAAATTATTCAATAAATAGCCTCTTCATACTCATCGCTCTTTCTTCACTGTAATTTAACCTAAACTTCATCAATGATATATTAGACGTACCCCATTGTCTCACCTTAAATTATTTGTTTGTTTTCCCCGCCAATTCACTGCCAATTGAATAAATTCACATTCTAATTAATAAAATATGTATTTCTTTGTGGAGACACGAAAGTGGACGAATGTATGAACTCTCAATGCTGGACACGTGTGCACTGTTTACATACAAAAAAAAAACAATTACGCCAACTAGACCTAACCAATAAAATAAAGAGCCAAATGGGCATGATTCAATTGTTGTTCAATTTTTATTTACGAGAATCATAGATAAAAATTATTTTCCACTCCTCATGTAACATAAAAATTTAATTTTTCGCTCAATTTTATATATTAGGAGGATAATTACCTTGAACTATTATTTAAATATAATTACAATGGTCTTTTTCGCTTCTACAATATATACAGTTATAATATATAACACACTATATATAGCTTTATGTATAATTCTCTGAGTCATGTACTTTTCAGTAGCAACAATTTCTCATAAAATTTCAAAGTGATATTCTGTCAAATAAATTTCCTCGATATAGATTTCAATTGAGAAGAAAAAAATTGATTCAATTGTTAAATTATTTGCAGGCCATGTAGCCAATTTTAAACTAATGACGTGCCTGAAATAACAATTCTTCATTAGTCATTCAATAGAACACATTCACATTTATCACATTGACAGATGTGTATAAAAAACATCCCAAGATATTTCACATGTTCATAATAATATCACAATTAAATAAGCAATTATCACCAAATATCTTCCCTTTAAATATGAATTTTCACATGCTCCATAAGAATATTCTTATCACCGAATTCGTCACCGCATATGCCACAGATAAGATCCATTTCAGGTTCATCATCGCTCTCCTGATAGACTCCCTCATCAGTGGCCTCGACTTGCCCCGCAAAGCCGTCATCTTCATTGGGAAGGGTTAATACAGGCAGAGCTTCATTCTCCTTGCTAATGATCTGCAGAGTGCTCTGTCGATCATCAATAAACTGTACCCTCAGGACATCATTGAGATGTTCTTGTGAAATAATTTGTTTTTCTCCTTCTTCCCTTGGTTGTTCTCCAGTAGAAACAAGAAGAACGGTCTCACCATCCTTCTGTATCAAATGTCCCTCAACTTGTACCTTGGCGATTTTTTGCTTAGACAGATCGGTCTTGGCCTTGCGCTTGGCATTTGCTTTCTTCTTAACACTCTTGATGCTCATGGGATCTATAGTGGTTCTCGCCTTAGCCTCAGCAATCATCTGATCTGAATGTTTAACGATATGAGCGCAGAGTTCATCTCGATCTTGATTGAGAGCACCACAAAGTGGACAGGGGAATGGTGGCCCAACGACTTCTGTGTCATTTTTTCCAGCGGCATGAACCCACCTGACATGCTCCCTCAGGACAACCTTCTGATTGAATGCTCTTGAGCACAGAGGACATACATGTGGTCTCTCCCCCGTATGAATTCTCTCGTGCTTTCTCAATGTTCCACCATCTCGAAATGCCTTCCAGCAAAATTTACAGCCATATGGTCGCTCACCCGTGTGGGTCCTGTGGTGTATCAAATAACCCTGTCTCGATGAAAAAGTCTTTGAACAAGTGTCGCATTGAAAATGTGCTGGGCCGTCGGCGTGTGTCCTTGTATGTTCCCACAAGCCCTGTCGCGATACAAAACATTTACCACATTCGGAACACGTGAACGGAGATATACCTGGATGTGCTGATAATCTGTGCTTGTCCAGTTGATTCTGCTTCTCAAATTGTCCACCGCATACCTCGCAAGAGTGAGTTTTTTTTCTGTGTATCCATTGATGTCGAAACATCTTCTGCTTGGTTGTAAATTTTTTTCCACACTCGTTGCAAGCATGCTTCGACCATTTTCCATTCCCATTTGCATTATCTCCTCCGTTATTGAGCATCAATTTTTTGGCGCACGTTGTATGATGAGAAGCCAGATGATTGTTGTCCTGGAATTGTTTATCGCAGAATTGACACTCTATGGGCATTGTCCATGATTTAGCGGGTATTAATGCCCTCTGATTATGAATTTTTTGATGAGAAGTCAGTGATGTTGCTCTTGAGAAAGTAGCACCACAATTATTGCAGGTAAATTGTGGCTGTTTCTGATCTGTAACTTGAACTGTTACAAATTGGCAAGTTTTTTTTTGGCTATCGAAGGGTAGACTCTCTGCTTTGACAAGAGTCTCGGAATTTGTTGGAAAGCTATTGGATACAAGACTGATATTGTAATTGTGAGGATATTCAAATTGTGCGACCTCTCCATTCGGCAATACCGTAAACTCCTGGAGGTCCAATTTATCTTGTCCCAGAGCTCCACTCTGATCACTCTGATCGCTCTGAAATGCGTAACTCTGCCAATTTACCTGTGCTACTTGATAGTTTTGCTGAGGGACTACTGATGACGACTCGGACAAATTATCCGATTGGGACATCAAAGCCCTTCCTGCCACGTACGTATGGATTTTCATGTGATTGGATAGAGATGATGGTCTCTGAAAATTTGCCCCACAGATCGAACACTTGTGACATTTTTCTTGATTATTATGAACTTGGGACATGTGGGTGTGCAGACTTGATTTAGAGCGGAAGAGATTGCCACAAGTTCTGCACGCATGGGGACGATCTACCTGATGGCAAACCATGTGATTGTTCAAGTCTAATCTTCTCTCAAATTTATCACCGCACGTTTGACATGAAAATTTACCAGAATTCTTCCTACAATACACCCCTTCTGATTCTGGTTCTGGCTCTGATTCTCTCTCTGGACATGAATTCTTACTCTCCCCATCTTCTCCAATATTTTTATCAGTGTAATCAAAAGGATTGTTATCACCAGGAGAGAGATTATTTTCATCAATCTCAGAATCTTTGAAAGTGTTCATTACTTTGTAATTCGATGTCTTTTTACCGTCAAATTGAGGGTACATTCCCCCTAATTGACGCAAAGCCTCCACCGCCATTGATTCATCATCACCGGATGTATACTGAGGGGTACCCTCTTGTTTTATGTACATCGGGTAAACAACAGAGTTGTCGTCCTCGTCAGAGGATTTCTCACAGAGAATCTCCTCTTGGCTCTCGTGGTTCATGAGTGATTCCGCTGGTTCACACACTTCCTCATGAGAAATTATCGCCTGCTCAATGTCATGGACGGATGACAAAGAGTAAGTTACGTATTGCTCATTGTCCGATCGTTCCATTATGTAATTTCAATTAATTGAACAAAAAAATCCTTCACTTCTTTCACATTAAAGTGGCTGGGGTATCCGCAGCCGACATATCGGAACGTAATCGCTGATTCGTCATATCTGTTTTTGAAAAATCCAAAATTACTCATTTTTTTCAATTATTCCATTGTAAGTACTTACATATTCGCCAAAACTCAAGATATGCCCCGCAGAAAGCCTGAAGATATCTTTTATTTTTATATTTATGAGGGAAAATTCAGCTATTCCGGTGGTTTTTTTTAGCAATTTTTCACAATTAAACACATTTTATTAATGTTTCTCTCAATATTTTGCGAATTTATATGTAACTAAGGAATTTTTTTGCACTGGTGAGGATTTATCGAGGTTAGTTCTGAAATATTTTCTCTCCACAGTTCCTCTTTGCTATTTCCACCACTTTCCATTTCCACTTTCGGGTTTAGAGTGAAGTTAGGTTAGGTACTTATCCAGACAACTTCATAATATAGTGACTATTGAAAATGGCGGCTTGTCGTCGGCTTCGAATATCAAACAATTAGTGGTGCAATTATTACGCTTATACAATATACAACATATTATATACAATTATTGTTATCTTCGAAAATTTGAAGGAATAATGAAGTCGCATGAGAAAATGAGGGGCTGGTCACTGATTTGGTGGCTGTTTACACTGTTCGGCATTCCTGTGACATTTCCATGGTTGATCTATCACATCTATGACATTGTAAGACGAAAGCGAAAGTTATCGTCACTCCGTGGGAAGGTATTTAATATTTGTTGAATATTTTTATTATTTAAAAACAACACGACTATGACCTCTTTGAACTTAGAGGAAGGGAGGGTGACATGACCCCCCCTCGTTTTTTTTATATTTTCAAAGTTTGTCTCTCATGTTTTATAAAGATGTAACGACGGAGTAATTAATCCGTTTATGCGTCTTTAAATTTCATATTTAAGTAATTAATATGGAGTTTTTATTTTGTATG